ATTTAAAATGAAGCAAATGAATAAGTTTTTTTGTCTATAGAGAGATCTCAAAAACTAAAAAAAGAAATAATATATACTGCATTATCAGCTCTATAGTTTGCGAAGAATTCATGGTTCTGAAGCATCTACCTCAGCATGCCTTTTTTTTATCATATCCATCAGTTTTTCTTAAAATTTTTCAACGTAATTGAATACATGTCATTGATAATTTTTTGTATATACTTAAAAAAAAAATTTTGCGATAGCTATAGAACATGCCTAATATCGAAAATATTCTTAACTTCATGCAATTATCATTCATATTGAGATCAAGAGAGTTGTCTTATCCTAGGAAAACTATTCTCAGATATTACGAAGATTTTTCCTTGACAACAACAAAAATGATTACTATACAAGAATGAAACAAAGTTGCATAAGTATAACTGTGTTAATATATGAAACATATTTCAACTGAAAGTGAATTCTCATAGTAAAAGATGATCTTTTAGATCTTGATAATGAGTTCAATGAATTAGTTTTTCTAATGCAACGAGCAGCTCCTATTAAAAAATCCCGAGTTTTCATATCAAGATCAACAACATGAAACACTATCTTTCGATTCATTGATAAAGCTTTCACTTGAACGATTATCAACATAAAGTTTCAAAACAGTTTCATGAAGTATATTTGAAAATCTCTTTCTGTATTTCCTCCTACAAAAGATTTCAAAACCCTTTATATAAAAAAGAAACCAATAACTAAAAATTATTTTTCTATAGTTACTATTCGCATCTTTTTCATTTAAAGCTTGAACAGAAAAACAATGATAAAATGAGGGCTTGAATTTAAGTGTATTATCTACTCGTTTTTCCTTCAATTTTAATATATTTCTTTTATGTTTACAGAGACAGCCATCATCTCATCAGACAACGATTCTTCTTCCTACCATTCAGTAACAAGCACACGACATATGAGTCGTCCTTATACATTACACTTGAACAAGGAGAGAAATGAACGTAACCGTCGATCACATATTGTTTTAAAAATGAATTTAATCAAACAGATATGTGCACAGACGAAGAATATGTTCTGTCCTGATACACGTACTATGTGTTTTCTTCAACACTTCAACTCTATCATAATTGAAACATGCATAACTTAATAAAAACAGTGCCGTGCGTTGTCAGAAAGGTCATGTAGTGATTATGGAATTGATAAAAATAATCTGAAAAGTACATATCCTAATAATAACTATTTTCAATTATTAACCTATTGGTACATCGTCGATGGAGTTTTATCTGAATACTTGAAGCTATATTCATTCTAATGATAAACGTATGCTAGCTAAAATTAAAGTGTGCTTATTGAGATTCATCAACAATTGATGGTTTGAGATTGTAAAAGAAATTCAATTTAACAACTATATTTCGTATGTAGATTGTTTTCGAAAAACTTGTATGATTGTTTCTATTAATATTTATGAAACTCCTATATTTTAAATGTTAACTTGAATACTATGTGTATTTAATCTATTATATAGGGAAACTTTTTTCTTTTGGTTCGATTGAAATTTCTTTCATTGTTTGTAGTATTTTAGAAAAAAATGACGTGATTTAATCCATCATATATAAGATGATGTTAAATAAAAATCACTAATTCCAAAAACTGATTTTTGCAACAAGAACGTTTTTTGTTGGAACTAAATTGTTTTTTTTATTTTATTGAATTTATCGAGAGATATTTACGAAGGACATAGTGATAGAATGAGTTTTGTAAAAATTTCAGAAGCAAGAACCGAGTATAGACGGAAACAAAATTTTCTGTTTTTTTGAAATACCATTTTCAAAAAGAATCATTATTGATGTTGATGTAAATTTGTATCTGCTATCATGATGAGTATATTTTAAAAAAAGGAAATGGTAATTTAAATCTATATTCAATTCTATAAAAGCTATCCACATATTTGAACTTGTTCCGACTATCTTCACCATAATCGGAACAAAACTAAGTCATGATGAATTTATTCGTTGTATTAGTGCTTTCACTGATAGAAATTTATTTTTTTGGTTTTCTGTTTCGTTCTTTTAGAATGTCATAATTCAAGCAAATTCGTTTTCGAGAAGAGATTTTAAAAACAGAACGCCACAACATGAGAAGAAAGAAAAAAAATTGAAAAAAACTGTCATCAAAACAACAAAAAAATGTGCTTATTGAAGAAAAAAACAAAAGCATGCATTCTTTTTTTCTTTCGTTTGTCATCTATTTTTCAAGGATATTTTATATTCTTGACATACGAAATTTTTTTTATCAGAGACGAAAGCAAACCAAACAAAACCTCAAAGAACATAAGGTTTAAGTTTTGACAAATACGTCTCTAGATACTGTATATAAATCGTCATAGAAAATCAATGTCTTTATTTCATTTTAGGTTTATCTGACTGAAACAGATACAAAATGAAAACTTAATTTTTAATCCAGAAGATAACATGACATTATTTGTTTGTTGAAATCAAATAATAGGTTGGAATTTATTTAACGAAAAGAAAATCATTTTATCAATTTCCTGTTGTTTACTTGAAAACAAAATAGTTATATTATTATCATTGTTGAAGAATCTAATTTTTCTGTGTAATCTCAATAACTTGATAACAGCAATAGCCAGTGTTGCTTGTGCCTTTCACAACCATTGAACAAAGAGAACTCTATTAGAAGTCTTTTCATCTGATAATATTAAAGAGAAAATTACTTTGTAATCTATACTCCTTGTAAAAAATTTAAAAACATACATGAGAAAATTGTTTCATTTCAAGTAAATTTTAATGACAAAAATTTGTGCGAAGTTGTTCAATTTAATGTTCTACACTAACGATCTATTTTGAAAATCATCCTACAGTACATAGTATCAGATAAAACGATGTCCGATAGAGTTTTCCTCTTTCAGCTATTGAAATTTCTGGGTTACTATCTGTTTCTGTTGAGGAGTTATTGTATATCTGGCGATGACTCTTGTTTTCGGACACACATTAGTTATTAGTTTTAAGCCAAAAACTTAAGCGCCATTGTTGATTAGAGTTACCAAAACTCAAGATTACATTATACAGAGCAGAATTTGATTGTCATAAATAATATATCCATATATTTGATGTGCATCAATAAAGACGACAAGCACAAGATGATCTGTTGTATATATCCACAATTATCTAACTAACAAGTATTATATATATTAATAAAACGATCATTTTTTGTTTTTTAATTCAAATTTTATTATGCATTGTGTTAAAATGAAAGAAAAGACTTTATTATATATGTACTTTTTATTTACAGAAATTTTGCTCTTATATAACTGAAATTGAGAGCTGATTGTGAATGTAGCAAATAATTATTAAATTTATTATGTCTTAAATTAGAAAAGTCTTTCAATCAATCCTATATACTTATTTTCTTATAAGACCTTATTTAATAAATAAGAGAATTTGTTTTTCTTCTATGGAATCCTATTGAGAAACATAAAAATCGATCAAAATATGTTAATATTAATCGAAATAGAATGTGAAAAAATGATTTCGTAATTCTAAATAAAAGTAGAGGAAAATTGAACATCTTTTTTTTTCTGGATCAATCAATCTATTAGTTGTAGAGATATACGTGAAAAGATTTTTATATTATCAACATCATCCACTTATTAATCGTTTTCGATAAAAAATATATAGATTTTGTTCTAGTTAAAAAGAAAAGTATTTTTCTTGGAAATGAAAATTTAATTATTTACATAAAATAACTATGAAATTTGTTAATTATATTTCGTAGAAAATAGATATTATATGGAACAGATTTTTATTAATCGACGAATAAATATTAAGATGAAATAATAATTTAAAATAATTCTAAATGTTTGTCTCAATTAAGAATTATTTTATGAATATATAAAGAAAAATATTTATTCTACGCGAGGATTTCTAATAGTGCATAGTAACCTAGAGGAAACTTTCTTTTTTGTCTGGACTGATAGTAAAATGAAAACTCTATTTTCCTATGAGATATTTATATTAATACTCATTTAGAACAGAAAGACTAATGAGTATCTTTTGAATAACTTTTCAGAGAAATAAGGTAGAAAGATGCAGTGTTCACTCTTCCACAAACTAGATGACGACACATGGAATGGTATATTTTTCTCTCAGATTTAAAAAGAGATGCTGTGAAAAATTATATCTTTTTTTTTTTTGAGCATCAATGTTAATGTAACCATCAGATATCATAATAAAATGTAAAAAAAATATATATATTTAAAATTTTTCCTTTTTCTATTCTTTATCTCTATTTCAGGATATGCAGTGCATGAGTTATTACTCAAATTGACAGCGAATGTATTGTTTTTATTCGCCGTTTCATACAATCATCGTTCGTTTGCTACAATGGTGAGTGCACGACATTCAAGTTATTCTTACACATTCGAGATGAAAACTCAGACGAATTGAACATGAAATGTTTAAAGACGACAAAGATATCGTGCACTCAATATTCCATTGGTTGACAAACACCGGTTGTTATCATGCGCTGCGTATTATCATTCCCTGACGTCGTCTTTTATCGCGTCTTTCCGTTTCTACTTCTTCTCGTTCTTCGTAACAGAAGAATAAAAATAATTTACTAACTAATGGAGCTTTTGTGGGTGGCTCTAAAACAAATGAACCTTCCCAGGGATATCCGACGTTCTGTTGGTGACCCGTGCAGGCGTGCAGATGGTAGGCCTTCACAACATACATCAATGTATGTATGAATAGAAGCGTCCATTTCGTCGTCGTCTTTTCGAAGATGATGATCATGGTCGTACTATTCCTACATACATCGATGTATGTTTGCCTAACCATTGATTGCCGGCTTTGTCCACTGTACGAGCCAGCAGAATACGGAGGGTATCTCTGGTCGCGCGTGCGCGAAATTTTGCAGCTGCTTGCTTCGGCAAGCTTAGATTTCACGATGACCAATTTATTTTCTCTTTAAAATCGAAAAAAAAACAATTACATTTTCTTTTTTACATCTTCAATGTTTCTTTTCACTAGAGCAATATGTGGATGATTTGCAGGAAGTGATTTTTTCCAGATTTCTTGAGCTTTCTCGTAATGTGAAAGTGCTTTTGAGTACTCGCCCATGTTATTATACACCATACCGATGTTGTTATAGGAAGCAGCCAGGTCGGGATGATTCGGAGGGAGAGCTATTTTACGGATTTCAAGTGATTGTTCGTACGATGAAAGTGCTTTCGAGTACTCGCCCATGTTATAATACACCGCACCGATGTTGAGGTAGGAAGCAGCCAAGTCGGGATGATTCGGAGGGAGACCTATTTTCTGGATTTCAAGTGATTGTTCGTACGATGAAAGTGCTTTCGAGTACTCGCCCATGTTATCATACACCATACCGATGTTGTTGTAGGAAGCAGCCAAGTCGGGATGATTTGGAGGGAGAGCTTTTTTGGTAATCTCAAGATCTTTTTCATAATATGAAAGTGCTTTCGAGTACTCGCTCATATTATCATACACCGCACCGATGTTGTTGTAGGAAGAAGCCAAACGGAGATCATTTGGAGAGAGAATTTTCTTGTAGATATCCAGTGCTTTTTCATAATATAAAAGTGCTTTTGAATACTCTCCCATGTCATCATACACCCAGCCAAGTTGATGATTATATTGTGCTCGACCTTGATCAGAAGACGCCTTTGCGAGGAGAATTTGATAGAGTTGTTCTGCTTTTGCAGGTTCGCCTACTTTAATAAGTATGAGACCAAGTTGAGACCATCCTGTGCGCTCACCAAGTTCCTTACGTATGTGTGCTGTAAGTGTGTTCAATTCATGATTGTCATTACCGACAATAGTGAGATTAACTTCGTATAGTCGATCAGAGTGATTATCGTGAATTCGTTCAATGCGATCGATACGAAAAATCGCATGTGTTGAAAATAGTATTTCTTCCTCCTTATCTTTGTAGTAGCCAACTTTGCTTACTTCAGCAAAAGGTGTCGATGAATTTGTACAAATAGCCGTGTCAATGTTCATAATGAAAAGGATGCCAACTGAATTTGTATTTAATGCTGCTGGTCGTGCAAAGTTTTTGAAAGATATCTCACGGTTGCGACTTGTTGACAGAAAATTATTGAAGGACATAAGTCCTCCTTTGGTTTTTTTTCATTTTTTCAAAATCTTCCATGGACAAACCTTGTCCACGGAAGACTTGAAATTTTGCTGGCATGTTCCCTTGTTGTTCACGATGTAATTCTTTAATATGTTGATGTAAATGACGGATGAAAAAGCCCATTTTAAGGATGATGTCAACATCCATTTGTCGGAGTCCACGATTGAGCATGGAATAAATAAATGTCTCCGCTGTATACCACCATATTGGTGTATGATCACGATATTCACGTTCAACAAGTTTAATTTGATCTTCAGAAATATCATCTTGTTCACGACAATAATCGACCAGATCTTTGATGGATTTTTTATCATCATCTTCGATCTCCAAGAGTGCTTCCTTTAACAATTGTGTATACATAAATAAGGCATCACGACCATTAAAGCTGATGGGGATCATAGCTTGATCACATCGTTGTCGATCGATTTCAAGTGCTTGACAAATTGGTTCTATTTTTGTGTATACACCCTTAACCTTGCTTATTTTTTTAGCCCATTGTTCATGAACCGATTGGTTGCCGCAAAACACATAAATTGCTTCCAGTTGTGGCCATACTTCGATTTCTGGTACTATCTGACGACCCAAGGAACCTGATACGATCATAAATATCTTTTCTTTTTTGATTTCACTAAGGAAATTAACACATTGTTGGGCAT